GATAGCGCAGTGCAATAGGAGCAAGGCCATATCTGGTGTGTAAGACTGAAACATCATAGTGCCAAGGGAAACCAAAAACAATCCTAACAGCGCGGTTAGCAATACGAGTTAGTCTATCATGTTGTGTGGTGTGAAGGCAGTGTACAAACGCATTAGAACCATATTCGAGGAGTGCTTGAATAAATGAGCAGTAGAAGGTCTTTCTCGCAGCCGGTGTCAGATTGTCCCTGATCTTCCGGAACATGGCAAGTTTTGTTCCGACCTTTTTCTCAACTTCAGTGACATATGAGGAGAATGATAGATGTTCGTCAATGGTGAGGCCAAGATACTTCACCGTTGGTGTTGGGGATATGAGGACATCGCCGAGCCGAAGGCAGATGTTAGGAGGAACACATTTTGTTTTTTGTCTTATGATGATAAATTGAGTCTTGGAGTTATTAAGATTGAGACCTCGGTCACGTAGGTACTCTCTGATGACAGATATGTCAGCAGAGAGATCATCAGTGAGTTTCTGCAAGTTTGTGCCTGCCTTATACATAGACACGTCGTCTGCAAATTGCCGAACCTTGCTCGTGATGGTACATGATGGCAGAGCTCGGACAGATAGGTTAAAGAGGGCAGGACCCAATGTTGACCCTTGAGGTACACCTCTTGTAGGTGTGTACTGTTCACCTTCCTGATGCTTCGTGACTACTCGTTGGCGACGGTCACATAGGAAACTAGCTATCCATTGCAGTGCAGTACCACCGACACCAATAGAGAAGAGTTCTTGAAGAAGGGAGGCATGATTGACTGTGTCAAATGCTTTGCTGAGATCGAGAAAAGCAGCGACAACAAATTGGCCCTTGTCTAGACATGCTTGCCAGTCGTTTGTTGTCGTGGCTAAAAGATCTTCGCAGGAATGCTGCTTGCGGTAGGCGAACTGTTCATTCGGCAACGCGTTCGGAAATGATTCACCTTGTATGTGCGACATGATCTGCTCATACGCGCACCTCTCCAGCAGCTTGGAAGCGATCGGGAGGAGGGAAATAGGTCGATAATTACTGGGATCAGATGAACTCCCGCGCTTGTGAATTGGACGAACGTTGGCAATCTTGTATAAAGAGGGAAAAATACCTGATCTGAAAGAGATGGTGAAGAGCTGGGCAAGAGAGGGAGCGATTTGTTTCTGGAGGAGTTTGTAGATGGACGGAGGTATTTTATCTGGACCACTTGCTTTGTGGCTGTCAAGGCGTTTCAAATGGGACACTATGGTTGCTGCTGACACCGGTTCAAACTCAGTGAGGGACGGCTCTGGCATTGGTCCGATCGGTAGTTTGATACCTGTGCCTGATCGTGAGGGTGCACTCGAAGCGCGCTGTGGAGCGGTCGGTGATACGTTGAGGTGTCCAAAGGTCACGGTGCTAGCTGCACCTGCAGGTGTTGCTGGGGCAGGGGCTCGAGGTGAGACTATCCTGGCGAACGTTGCTGAAATGTCTTTGACTGAGGCATGGGGCTCATGGTACACAGTTGTTCTCCCAAGCAAAGAGTTGATTGTTTTCCACTGTAGCCTTGGGTTGCGATTGTTTCGAGTCAGTTCGTTTTGGAAATACGCAGCTTTCTTTCTTCGCATGAGGAGTTTACTTTCGCGCCTTAGAGCACGGAAAGCCTGAGTTAGACGTTGATCATCCGGTCTCTGTATCATTTTCCTATGTGCTCTTTTCCGGCGATAGAGTAATTGCCTTAGTTCACCGTCCACCCAAAGAGAAGGTTTGTATCGTGGTGACGTGGTGATGGTCGTGGTCGGACAATGCTTGTCAAGGGTGTCAGCTATTGAGGTTTGGAATAGGGCAATGTGCTCGTTTAGAGTGATCTCAGATGGCGAAGTGTTGTTATTATGGAGAGCAGTCAAACTGGAGCTAATGTCGTCTTGGAATTGTTGAATGTTTATCGCTCGAACTGGAGGCTTACGAATAGTAATGCGTTCTTCTTTGAATGTTCGTAGCATGGTAGATAGCTCGAGAATGACAAGTTGGTGGTCAGATACGTCGCATGGTTGAACGGAGCATGTGATGGAATTGACATTGTTTCCACGCGGCTGTGAGTTTGGCAACTGAGCAAGCAGGTTAGGTACTAATGCGAGATCAATGGTGGAGTTGCTCGGCAGCCTCGTGGGGGCGAGTACCACGTTTCGTAAACTGTTATCGCTGCAGAAGGTTTGGAGGTGGGTGTAGTGTGGGTGATTGTGGTTCTGAACATTGACATTGAAATCACCAATGACTATCGTGTGCGATTTTGCTGCTGTGGATCCTGAGATGTTGTCCACTGTATCAGTCAGTTTCTGCCAGAATATGACAGGCGTGGACGGCGATCTGTATGCAGCAATAATGTTTAGTGTGATTTCTTGAAGACGTACATGTATCGACACTGCTTCTATATCGTTCGTGATCCCTATTCGATTGTGCTGCAGTCCATCACGGACATAGATGCATACTCCTCCCCCAGTCTTGTCTTGTCGGTCTCGCCGATAAATGCTATAGCCACGGAGGTGTACGGAGTTGTTAGGCACAGTGTTGGTCAACCAAGTCTCCGTTATGGCTAGAATATCTACTTTATGGTGATGCATTAGGTAATGAACTTCATTTAACTTGTGAAAAAGACTACATACATTGATATGAGCAATACTTAGCTTTGAGGTTATTATTGGCGTTGCTGGGGATGCCCGGGCTGAGTCCTATTGGGAAGTATTGAGCATACGGGCAATGTCCTCTGTGGATAGAGGTTTTCCGCTGTGCATGATAACATCCCGGGGCAGGTGGCACTGAACTCCCTTGTCCCTAAGAGCTCGGAGCTTAGGGACAAGTGCTCTCCGCCGTTGTTGCTCTTGCCGGGTCAGGTCATGCTGGATGTAGACTTTCTCACCGCGGTAAGTAGCTTTCGTTTTATGTTGCATGAGCTGAGACTTGGCTTGAGGCGTCAGGGATTCAAGTCTCCTACGGCGGTGCTGTACAACTTCCCGCCGGACATTGCCAAATTTTGCTGTGCTTCCTGTACGAGAGGGTGTACACAGATTTCCGGTTGTTGGAGCCCCTGAACTTCCCGCCTGAGTTGTTGCACTTCTAATTCCAGACTCAGGCTGTGTTTACATGAAGCGTTTCAACCCGGGTTGAGTTCGACCCGGGTCAGATTTCAACCCCCCATGTGCACAAAGTGAATGGCGCGTTTACATGACGCACTGCGCTTGACCCGGGTTGAAATTTCGCCCCGGGTTGATTTCAACCCTCCCCCCAAGGGGAGGGTTGAAATCAACCCGGGTCAAGAAAATCGTACAAACGTACTTCTGTGCGTATCTCGCGCCAGGTTTGAACAGCACTGCAGATGCAAATTTCGCGCGAACGGATTCACGTGACCATACAGGACTCTAGAAGTGGACTTTTGGCGGCATATCAGTATTTGACCCGGGTCAACTGTCTTCATGTAAACGCTCACCTCTTTTGTCTATCGTACAGACTTTCAACCCGGGCTGAACTCGACCCGGGTTGAAATTTCTCATGTAAACACAGCCTCAGGATTTTGTCGGCTCTATCCTGTGTCAAGGAGACAATTTCCTGTGACATGCAGCTAATTGAGTCAGTAAGGCTATTCCAAGGAATATATGGCTGGGGTAGCCAATGGCCACTTTGCGTGGGGATTGCAGGGTTTTATAGCCAACCATGGCTAACATCGAAAAGAGTAAGAAGTCAAAAAGAAAAGGAAAAGAAGAAAGAAGCAAATATGGACTGAAATTGTGGTCTACTGGTAAAGCAAGGCGTTCCTGAATGATGTTAAAGTAGAAAGGCCCTTTGTCTCCTGGTGCAGCTTAACCCAATGCAAATAGCCATTGAAAAGGGGGGAGTGTAGCAATGCAGAAGAGCGGGCTAGAGGAAGGGAGAGTTGGTTCCTAGTGGAGTTATCCCGTCGGAACCAGTCAAATGGTTTAAGATGCGGGGGTATTTTGGAAAGTCGAATACGATGGATAAGACAGCACATCATGATTCGTCGTCTTTCTAGGAGAGGTCTGGTCGAAGATAACATATAGAGAGCGACACTAGAAAGGGACTTGGACATATGATAAAGAATCTTAAGGAGGGAACGATTGTGAGTTTCCAGTTTCTGCTGTTGGGCAATAGATAGATTTGTCCAATGGTGCAGTATAGGATGCCTATTGACGCTATTTTACTTTCATGTCCAGAATTCCATACACTTAAATTTAGGCCAACAAATTGGCCCGTCGAAAACATCCTGCTATTAAGTCTCTGGGATCACAGCATGAGCAATTGTCACATATTTGGAAAGATGAAAGATTAGGCCATACAATAGATACAAAAAGACATGAAAAATGTAAAACACACAGCCAGTGGGCCTCTTATTATTTATTTTCATGTCCAGAAATTGCTATTCACCTCGTACTCGACTACTCGTACTGCCCAAAAATCGAAAAACATCGCGCATCGTACTGCCCGTGCGCGTATTCTTCAGTTCTGTCCTTTTCGAAAGAGCGATGCATGATGCGTATGCACCAGGGAGTCGAAAAATACCGATTTTTAGGACTCATGTTATGTACAATAGGATAATGAGAAGGTGCATGTCTTTGTACCATGATGCAGTTTGAGTAAACCTCGGATTTCAGCTTTGGCAATACCGGTAGTAAAAAATGGAACTCATGATGTTCACGTTTGTAGGAGATCGGCTGTGGATCGAGCACACACTGGTAGAAGTAACATGAAACCTAATTACTGTATAAGACTGCATGCTTCACACTCTCATGTAATATTTCTTTCC